CATCATTCAATCGCAGCGCCGTAACACCAGATAAGCTCATGCCCATTAGTTAGTATCCTTAATTGGAGGTAATACCTGAAATACACAAACCATAGCAAGCAAAACTGCAGGAAACTAGTGAGTACACCTAGCACCAGCTAAGGATTATTACCTTCTCGTTGCTCAATGATAACGAACCGAGAATGCGGAAAAGGTACGTACATTATCATCTGACACTAGCGTGATGAAAACCTAATACATACGAAGTAACTTATGGTAAGTTATTATTCATCTAACCGTGATACGAATGACTCGTAACACTGTGAAATGTTATAAAAATGCGGCCGTGGATTACGATGTTGAATATGTTATCGATGATATTTTTTCCGATCATATGAGGTTTGATAGAATATAGTTGTCGCTAAGCTATATGCCCCCCCCCAAATCGCACCGTTTGGCTATAACGACATCCCAAATTCTCGATGGATCGTGAAACGTTTCGATAAAAAACTTGAGCCCCATGTCCCATATTGTGTTCATATTGCGTCCAGTTATTATTTATATGCGTTCCCCCAGTTTTTCGTTCGAGACGATCTTTCACGGTAGCCTAAGTAGCTGTCAGGCTCACACTTTGCTGCGTACCGTCGATTCCTCGTTGCTGAGGCCGGGGAAGAGCGGCCTTAACATGATGTTAACGGGTTTAAAGGTGGTGAGACTTGAACTAATTCGACAAGTCCATTCTGCCTAAGCATCAAAATTGCTTTCATTGCGCTGAACGACGCTTACACGGGAACTGCGCATTTGTGTATCGCTTTACCTATGGGAGCCAGCTATCTGGCCTGTAGTTTAAATAGACTAACACCAGAAAGTTACGAAGAACGATTACGTACATCTACTATTTTTTACTTCTTTATTTATCGTAAATATAAAGCTAGCCAAGAAGTTAAACAAGTCGATTTGAAATGCTCTCGCAACCGCAAACAGCCAAGCCAAAAATACTTATGAAATTATACACAATCCTAGGATGAATATTTCATGCTTGTTTGTTTTAAATTCTTCGATTTTGTGATCTTCCCCTCTGCCTTCCACTCACATACTCCTTTCTCCCATGAGCTTACCATTTCGTAGTGTCCTTCTTTTGCCCTCATAGCTTACGTTGGTGACAGTAGTTGAAAGGAGCGGGCCCCACTCGCCCTAGAACAATAACATTTGTCGCTGCCGTTGTTGTTGCTTCTGGTGCCCTACTTGTTCTTATGGGTACAAGATCGTGCTTAGTTCCGCCCCACAACGTAAGACTACGAGTTCTTGCGGACAAGAGGAAAGCTAGCTAAAACGAGGACACTCGGGAACTTGGGCGAGGGGGGTGGATAGCATAAGAGTGAAGTCGCGCGGCGGGCCGGAGTCGTTCGGTGTTTTTTTTCCCTTTTTCCCTCTCCTAACTGTGATCCGTCGCTGCGTGTTTTATTCAACAAGACAAACCTGGTTAAAGGCATGAAGGGACGGACGGGAGTTGGCTTGGTGGGAAACCAAACACGCCAGACAGAAGAAAGCGCGTTTTCCTCCCCCCTACCAGAGGTGGAGAGGCAGACGACCATACAGACATATCGTATAGGTCTCGTGCCAAGATAAAGCGGCCAATTCACTGGTAGCAAGCACGAAGGCACCACTTCCCACCCACAGCTAGTCAAATAATCTAGACAGCGCCGACGCAATCGATTCGCGAAGCTAGTTATGTATATACATACATACAGACACATGTATTCCTTGTCTATCCAGACATGACTATAAATTTGATAAGTGTGCCTACTACAGAGTCAAGTTGGCCTGCCACACAACACAGACTACCATGAACCGGTCGAAACCTTCCGCGACTGCTACAGACACCAAAATTATTATTGCACGCCAATGCTCAGCAGACAAAAACATAATAAGTAGACGCATTTGCAGTATTTCTGAAATTTTCTAAGAATCTACATTTCACACTTTGGCTAGCCAAAAATACAGACACCGCCTTAAGTTACATACATTGAGGCAGGAAATCAATATAAAAATAATAATAATTTAACAGTTTACATTTACAGCAAACATTTTACGTAGCCCGCGATTTTTAGCGATACTAGATCATTTTATAGACTAATCTAATTGCGATACGGGGAAGAAAAAATTGCTTAGTACAAAAGCATCATACAATAGCTAGCCCTTGAGCCGCACCTGCTTTCCAAAACAGATATCTAATTCAAACAAAGGAAATGAAACTCTTCAGCTCGTTGACATTTATAGTTTGCTTGAAAAAGATCACCGCAAAGAAAACAAGATTACAAGATCTTATCATCATTACGGGCTTAGCTCACCTAGTTTTCATCAATTTGATTAGCAGGAGTAAGTGGACAACCCTACTTACTATGCGGTATTTCGAATTTGGATTTTTCGAAATATTTACTCATTGAAAATAAGTCGACTTTACCCAATTCCTATGATGTGCCGTGGACAAACTGGGTAGGAATTTTAGCCGTATTGTAAAAACGGCGCGTATTTGGGCTTTGTTGCTTTAAATTAGATCAAACTAAATCATTTGTATTCTCATATTTATAGAACTGTTCGTACATACGTCAGGCGTGCGGGCCTCATTTGGTCTGTTGCCAATATCACTACGATAGACTTTCATTGTCATTACGAGTATCGGTGGCCTAACAAGGAGCATGATGGTCCCTTTCTATGGAATAATGTTTACTAAAGGATATCTATTACAAAATAACTACTAAAAATGTTTGATACAATACCTTATGTCCACTATCCATTGATAGAAAACTTGGTTAGTTGGCCTAAGTTCTGCATATCCCTCACTTCGCAAGCGTGCCCTCTCTAAATTTGGTATACAATGAAAATGTGTAAAAATGTATTTCCCCGCCGGCTTTATAATAGGAATCTAATTTTGTTAAGGAATAGGCCCAAATAACGTAACCGATGCCGCAGCAGCTCTTCGTTGTATTTCGCTACGCCTTTTACTACTCGTGCGCCACCCGCGCGCTTACACAACGTCATGCATTGGGACGGCTTTAGCCTTACAAGCGAATAGCTAACGAACTGTTGTTAACTCCCCATACGATTTGCAGCAGCCGAAACAGCACAAGCAAAGCCATTGCAGTCTTAATTGGCACTGCCTCTGTGTGCACTCAGAAAGCCCAGTGCCGAACCACCGCTTTCCACTGTGTCTGCATCTACACTCTATTGCAAAAGTGGAACTCTTAGATACCTCTGTCCCTTTCTCCCTCTGTTTCGCAACTCCTCTCTCTGTCTTTGACATAATCATTGTTTGTTTAGCCCAGTTGACACACAAGACCCACAGAGTGTACACCGTCGGCGTCCCATAAAAGCGCAGGTCCACTATACGAGCGTCGCAACACCAGCGTCATTTCTTCGACGTCAGCAAGCCGGCAATGCTTGCATTAGCAACATGCGGCCTACTAGTACAGCCACCTTCCTACGGCGGTGCACTCTAATGCACTCAGGGGGCCTCCCATCGTTAACACAGTAACGGGCTAAGCCGCCAAGCGACGCATACGCTTCTACAGACGGACTTGCACACGCATGCACTTCATGGGGTGCCTTCCATCATCGACATTACGTCTACAGCACACATGGCCAATTCACCTTATCTTAGAGCTAGAAAGCTAGATGTGAACTACTTGCGTAGGCGCGTATCGATACTTTCAAAATTCAAGCCATCGAGGTATACATGGCAGATCTCTTCACTAGTACCGCATTCCTACATAGGTATTCCATTGGCTTAATCCTTAGACTTCCAGGCGTTTGGTGCCGCCTAGCACTCTGTATCTCTTTTCTGCGTCCCTGTTGACTTCGACTGGCTTCAATCGACCGATTGTCATCTTTACCGTTGTGCTGAAGATATACAACAACTGCCAGCTGCACTCGTTAGCTGCTGTCCAATCTGCGATTGTTGCTTGCGACGCAATTCTTACACGAATGAGCTCATTGCGGGGGACTTTTGATTGTGGCTGCATTAGAGGGATCGATCGTACACGGTACGTGCTCCGCCAGCTGTTTGCTCAAACGTTTGCCCCTTAACTACGTACCTACAACAAAAGAGCTGAAGCTGTTGTTAGACAATGGGTTAGCGAATCAGCCAATATGGTCGCTCTTCACCTAATAGACATCTATAAGTAAGCCAACACAATTAACAAAACCACAACGTTTAACGTAAATATGTATTTACACTTCGTTCAATTAGAGTGAAGAACAAAAGCATACATCATACTATTTATGTATATATCCAGCGGCGGGCAGCGATAATCGCGTTGAAGTGCGTATTTATTGATCACAGAGGCCCCCACTGCGAACGTTTGTGCTGCTAGAGCAAGTATCGAAATAAGCACTCACTGTACCAATGATAACTAAAATTTGGAAACTAAATGCAAGAGTTCTAAATTTGGAAAAAAAAACGTATAACGTACAGCCTATATCCAAGTAGAAGTTACCCATATCAGGCAAAGTTCATGCCATTTTGTTTTGATCTAATTTGTTCACACTAGAACTAGGGACATATTACTAATGGCACCTACAGCAGCCTGACACGATTTGTCTTCAGCTAAGATAACCAGCCAGCTTCGTGTGTCGATATCTGCTAGTGAAAACGTTACCTTTGATCGTTATTTGCAGCATTACATCTGCTGTGTTACCAGTGATGCGCAGTTCCTGTCTGAAGTGAGTACGGAAAGCTTAATACTTTCATAACTTACTGTATTCGAGGTACGATCTGTTTAACAGGTTTTACGTACGGTTTTAACGTGAAACGAACATTGAACTTTGCATCTACCTAGCTTCAGCCATTTGTCGACCGCTTCCGATGTAACGTTAAGAATATGCAGTATCGATTAAGTACTAGATAACGCTTCTAACGGAAGGTTGCGATTTTGTCGATCGAACACATTTTCTATTCTTCGACCTATAATTGAATTCAAAGAAGTCCCTTTACAAAATCATTTATTTACACAGTAGTTAGAACTTAGTCAACATAACCACCTCGTAATATTCATATATCGTTTCATTATATCTTTCTTGTCTCCTTCTAATTTTTATGCTTTATCCATAATATTATGACGTTCATATTGTCCTGTGACCTTCTTGTTCACGTTTCGGACGCGACTACCCAACTAGACTCGTCGGCGGTCCTTCCTCACTCCATCTGCCATTTGCCAACTCAACTTTGCCTTTTATCTGTCTGAACCCTCTTCATGCCTGAGGAAACACGCACATTATCATTACTGTTATTATTATTTTTATACGTTTTTCAACGACAAGGTTCCCATACGAGAATCGTAGACACTAAAGGGGGGCATACATGCACGTTTGTTTTGATAAACGACACTGTTGTTTTTACAGGCTCATCAGCAGGTCCAATAATGTACCAGTAAAAAAAAAAAAAAAAAAAAACTATAGCGAAGCAAATTTCCATCGCTATCTATTTGTCCGCTATTTGTGACGTTTCCGATAATCATAATAGTAATCACTATCGCCGCTGAGATATTAGTGTTGGATCATATATTGTTATCATTCCGTGTTCGATCTCTGTTTCGACAGCGTTTTCTGTTATTCGCTGCCAAACGATTACATTATCACAGGCTGGTAGTGGTGTTGACAAATCCTGTTAATCCGGATAATTGGTGTTCAGCTATCTCTAACCGCGTACCATTCTGGTCACGTACATCTATTCATTCAAATTCATCCGTCTCTGAACTGTTCATCGGCTGTAGCAGTTCACGTTTACCGTAGCGTTGTTTTTGCAAAAGAAAAAAACATTACGTTTACAAGCAGCGTAAAACAGTAGCATTGATAATTGCCTAACGGATCAATTGCGGATTCGTCCAAGAAGCAGATTGATACAAGTCTCTCAACACCACGAATTGAGACTTTTGCTTGAGGATTCGCCCCCCGTCGCTTGCGACAGCAGAACAGCTTTTGGGGCGTTGGGGCTATGCCGTCACGAGCACTGTCGCTGCCGTAAGGTGGAAAACCAATCGTTGACTCTCCTATGGCTTGCGCCATATTGCATGCCGCACAAATACTTTTTCTCTTAAAAAGACAAATTATTATTATTATTATTATGTTAGCTATCCGTAACAGAATCCAGCACTCATCGAAGGTGTGCCATTAGACATACGGTGGGAAGTGTCACCGTCATTCTAAACAGCCGATAGATGACCGAAGATGATCAATCGTGAAGTACAATTGAACTATGAGTGATTTGTGATAGAATACCAGTAATACAACGCTCACACAGACACAAATTAGCGTAATTTTTGCTGTCAGACTATTACCTCAAGACACACACACACACACACTCACAGACACGTCCGTCTGACCTAACGTCTCGCCTCACCTCATCATTGTTGCTATTGTTTGTCATTTTCTATATCTTCGCTCGTTTTTGTGCTCCTTTAATATAATACGTATTGTATTATTATGCGTGCTTCACTCTACAGTAGACACTTCCTATGATATTCATGTCTTACTTCACTTAGCAGTAAGACTGATCTTCCACCCCAACCGTCATGATCATGGTCACCTTCATCATCACTAGATATAATAGCAATAGTAGAATACTCTGTCAGTTTTCTTGTGTCAATTTTATTACGTGTATTCGTCTAGTGAATACCTAATGTTTGTTTCGGCTGTGTATTATACTGTTTTTGTATTCAACAGGTCACGAACAGTCAGTGAAGTGACGCGTTAAATTAATAGAAAAAAAAAAAAAAAAAAAAAAAAGAAAGGTCACACATTTGATTAGCCGTTGTCTTTTGTCTCTGGGCCCCAGTAGCGAGGGGATGGGGCCTTATTTAGGTTTGTGTTTATATACTATTGCAGCTAAGCTTGACATTTCTAGGGAGATTTTTTCGCCGCTAGTGCTAAATAGCGAGAAGCTGTACATTAGAAGCTTCCCGTTCTGTCTTCCCGAATTTGTTCGCAGCGAAAAAATGATATCCTTGTTGATCTGCTTTGCAATTTTCAAATGACGCTTACATAGGAAGCAAGATGGGCGTACCTGATTAGTTTGTTTTTAAGTTGTGATATCGAAACGATGTAAATTATTAAGGTTAGTGCAGAGAAAGCTATCTGAGACACGATCTGAAATCGGCCGAATTTTTCGTAGTAATTCTTCTATGATTGAACGACTGTGCAACGGATCTAACGAAAACCGACATGACAGTTAGTTAGAGGGTTCTGGAGCGCGTGTTTTTACCCTCTTTGCGTGAATTCGAAGGCTGCATTGAATACGGATGTCTATAGAATATTCCAAGCATTCGTACACATATTACTGATCGGTTTAAAATTGGAAAGAAAAAAAGAAATGTACGCGATACGAACCTTTGTATATGTGACACAAATCCAAGATCTACTTAATACATTGCGAGGGCAAAAAAAAAATAAATAATAGTCTTTTCTCTATGACCTTTTGATATGGTGATGAGTAAATAGGATGTGTACATTTATCATATTGATGCAAACGTCTGTCTATCAGATAAACATGTGTTTATGTGCATCCGATCTGATTTCTCTCTATCCTGCCTATGATTATATACACTCGCTGTACAGAGCACAAGTCATTTAACAGTAGTTTTAGTGGGTTTGACGAAATGGGTCTAGACCGGCCGAGACTATAATCAAAAGCGTCATAAGTACTTTTTGGAACGTGTTCCTCAATCCGTGCAACGTTTTGACTATTTTTAGCAGAAAAAAAAAAGTAATACGTCATCTGAACATAGTTCAATTGACATGAATAGATCGACTGACTCGCTTAAACCAAGTGAGAATTGTGCCCTGATTTGATCTTCACTCGGTCTATTCTTCTTCGCTTCGCTATTGACTCACTACAGGGCGATATGTACAAATATATAATTGTATTTTTTTGCCATTGTTTTATATTTTTTGGCGCTGCCGGTCGCTGCGAGTATGTTTCGTCGCATATAACGCTCACCTATCGTCGGCATGGGGCCCTGGCATAGGTGAGATTGTGCAGAATATCAGTGGGAGTCAATCTATAGGATAACACTTAGAATTGCATTTATCAGCAACGACGTCTGCGTACGCGTGATTGTTCATTATCGGTTTTTAATTATATTTACGATAACAAAAAATAGTTATACCAGCTCAATCGATCATTGCTGACAGCTGCACCTAGGCGGAGCGCGTGTATAAATACTAAATGAATCGGCTCGCAATCTCGTAACCCGGTCGCTACGATCATCTCTGATTTAACATCTATAGAGCTCTGATACATCAATGTCTCTGTTGACATTATACTGACTAGGCACCAACATGATATGGCATCGTCCTTGTAATCAACCCTCACCGAACTCATATGATGTTGCCTGTATCGTTGCTTCTATTGCATCTTAATTTCAGCTCTCTCAACTGGCCTATGACGTCCTTGACGTACTGACGCTTGCCAAGCAATACGAATTTACGGCAACGACCCTCACATATACCAGAATGGGGTGTCATTCTCGTCGTCCGAGTTCCCTCACAAGCGATTGTGTTTACGGACGTTTCTACCAATTGCCAGAAGTAACAGCAACGTTAATTTGACATTTTTCCTCATTCGTCTGCTCACGCTCATTATTTACATATCGCGGCGTCACCTTGATATTTCACCCCTTTATAATAGTTCATATTATTTCTGACTTCTCACACCCGCTTGACGGCGACACATCCGCTATCGCATGCGTCTTTGCTTGTCATCGTGGTTTTACATTTGCCCCTTATGAGTCCCATAACTGGCGTTGTTCGCTCTAAACCCAGCGGTAAACTTGTTCCTTTCTCAACTGCACTCGCTGCGCTGGTTTTCATCTGCAGGGTTGCAGTCTGTAAATGCATCAAGCTCGTCCTCTATCTCTGCTTTCTTAAGTGTATATCAGCAGTTGCTATCATTTGTTAACAGTTACATGTTTCTAATTATTGCTTCCTTTTTCTTAAGTCTGCATGCGCTAGTTTATGCATGTTGACCCTGACAGCTTATACTGAAGCGCCCCCTTCAACTGATCTTGTGGGCCCATTGGGGCTGACCAAAATGCGCTTGCGTAACTCGTCGTTCAAGCTGTCTGATCTCCTGCACTGCCGGTCTATTTACATTAGCTAGATAAAGCCAGTTCCGCTAAGATACGTAGATATAATATATCGCTTGTATTATTAAGGTCTTCCACTTTCTTTTTGTTTGTATGTGAATTTGCCTTATAATTGGGCTCGCGTAACCGCACTGCCTCTTCTACTGGCAGCCGGTGTATTAGGTGAAAATAGCGACGGCTTAGTGTAGGATGGCAATGTGATGCTATCATCCATGTGCTGCAACGAGTTGAAATTGTTTAAATTATTCTTCAGTTTGAGTTGCTTCTTTTCGCTACGTAACTGTCCTCCATGGCTGTTGTAGTTTCTCGCGCTGACCGCGCCTAGGCCTACACCGACGGCGACTCCTATTCCATTGCCGCCGCCGCAGCCGTCACTTCCGAGACCAAGACCGTCAGCCCCAACAACGCCAGTAACACTCATTGCAGATGTAGCGAAGCTCTCATGTGGTAAGCCGGTATCCTCTGACACGGTATTGTAGATCGGTTCCGACGGACATTCATCCGAGCAGCAACCGCCGTGGCCCGCACCATTACAACTGCTGCACTCGGTATGCTGGGAGCCGCCGCTCAGGCCCGATCGGCGACCGAAACTACCAGAGTCCCCCGAGCTACTGTGCATACTAGTGCCACCGCTGTTTGCCTGCACCGCGGCCTGTAACAGGCTTTCGAACTCGTGCGCTTGGCCGTCTCCTCCTCCTCCTCCTCCTCCCGCTGATACGTTTCCAGTAGTAGCTGCTCCTACCTGGCCGGAGCCTGCGCAGATGCCGCCCAGGCCGCCGGCATTCGTGTAACGTGTTGTGTCAGAGCCCCTAGAAGCGAGGGATTTGAGCGTGACCGCAACGTTGTTGGCTCCTCGGGTTACTGCCGCCGAAGTAGCGCCTCCTACAGCAGCATCGAGTGGGCCGTGGATAAGCGCCGTTGACGCGTACGGCTTGGGTGTGTGACCGAGCTGTGAGCCCTGATATCGCTTTCCAAACGTGTTCAAGTTCTGTCCAACTTCGGCATACTCGCTCTCCTTTACGTTCGGCAACGCATACTCACTGAAAACAACAGTATAGGCACATGTGGCTTATGAAATCATTTAGTATTCATTGCAATCACTATCTGCATAGCCCCAAAACTACCATAATCGTAGGGACTGCCTTTCTAAGGGAATATTCCACAACACTAGACCTGCACCTCACAGAAAGCCATTGCCTAAATAAATGCTTTAGGCTCTACGTTTGGTGCTGCCGCGTTCTTCAGAAGGCGTTACATGAAACAAAATATATGTCCAGCTACGATTTCAAACTTCCCTTAACTCTAATAGAGAAACGTATTAGCGTCGCCTTATGCCTTACATAACTATTTAGACTGGATAACCAATTCGTAAAACGAAACTTAAATGATCAGAAAACCTAAGAAGAAATTGCGAGGCTGCCCATTGATACTATGACATGTTTGTTATCGTGAGCTAAGTTTAGGTACTAATACTCTTATTTCCATCCATGATATTGGCTCTGCTAGTAGTGTTTCTCGCAAGTTAGCGTAAGACTCAACGAAGTAACAACTCTATGCCCTGAAGTGTTGTTACGTGAGTCATCGAACAGCGTATTTAAAAACACCGTCAGATCGATGTATGAACCTATTCGTTTCAAGCATCGATCTGTAAGTAAGGATTAAACACTCTTCACTATATTTCAGTATGATCATTTAGGATCTTTGCTAAGTCCGTTTCAAGTAAATATCATCAATATTAGATTATCACTCCAAACTTCAAATGCGTGCAATAGATAATAGCGAAGAAATTTAGTCCATGGATCATATAGATGCTGAAACACTGATGTTTATCATTACCTAGGAAAATCTTCAACGGATCCACAAATTACTCCAGTTTCCAAAGATACACAAATCTGAGAATCGACGATCAATAGAAAGTAAAAAAAAGAAATAGAACGATATTAAATCAGATAAATATAGTGTGTTGTATCGATGCTAAATGTACCGATCGATTTCCACTTTTCTTTTCCAAGTACGGCCTAATATCTGATAATGGAAGTGACGCTTTTTCACGAAACCAACACAGCTACAGTTGGTAAGAAAGAAAATTCTAGCCGTCAGCAAGCTTTCTAATTAATCTCTAGCACTTAAATAACTTTGAAAAACACATTTCACCCTTGGTCTAAGTGTTCATCCAAACTTTCTACAGCTGCGGATCGAGTTCAATGATTTTAGGTAGCGAGATCCGCTTTGTTCTAACCAAAACTCACAAAGCCTCAATTTTTTTTTTCTAGTTTAAATACAGAAACAAGGAATTTCAGAGATCGTTTAATAGTCATGGTTAGTTGGCATATCAATGGCGAACTCTAGCAGAAGTTTCATAAGGCAAATCTCATAACGCGTCTCTGACAATTAGTTCAAAGCTATACAGATTGTTAACAATTTCTATTAAACTTCAACTATTTCTAAGTTATGAAAACTAAGTTAGTGTAAAATTTAAATAGAAAGTAACTCTATAAACTGGACAGACCCGTGGTCCTGTATATGTTCAATGGTAGCTTGTTATTCTCTCTTACGCGCAATAGCTGATTCCTTCGAGGGCGCTGAGTTTGTTCTCGTAGACTGTGGTAGTTGTTGCCAAAGGGCCCTTATTGGCATCACCATAACAATCGTTCATTGGTGCCCATGTATCCAAACCGACCCCGGGATGATGCGTTAGTGAGGCAGTGAAACAGTTACTAATCAAAACAACAATGGAACAATCACGCGCACGACAAAGCAGCGAACATACGGAAGCATTAGTAGTTTTAGAGACAAACAGCACAAAGCATTAAGATTATTTGTATAGATCCTCTGTCTACAGTTATTTGTTGAGCTAAATGCTTTGTTGTAGCCTGTACAGGCAAATAAACGAAGGCATCGCGAAGTATTGTGTTTTTCAGGCGCTCTCAGGTTGTTTAAGTTTCTACTAAATCGTAGGTTTAGGTTAAAACAAGATCTACCTACCTACAGAGTTACCGGCTCCCTATCTTTCTCGTTTCATTATATATTTCCTACCATAAGTAGATTTTATTCAGCTGACATTTTGTATGTATTTGCTACGTGTACAATCCACCACATATAGCTTTTTTTTTAAGGAGAGCATGTCCTTCTTACTTAATATCGCCGCCTTTCGTGGCGAGCGGAGGAACCGCAGACACAGTTGTCTTGAGTGCGTGTCGATTTCTGCAGAAGTAGAATAGAATACAGGCGGTAATGACAAGGAAGGCGAAAATACAGCCGAGCAACACGACTAACACCTGATTATGTAACAGTGGCCCCCCGCTCATGCTGACAGGCTGCTGAGAAAGCTCGTCAGTTGAAAAGTCGACGAAGTGACTCGGAGGGCCATCACCTGCGGCAGTGTACGGCAGTACCTGCAATCATACGCAAACCAATTATTTTCTACGATTCAACCTATCGGGCTGATCATCCCCTATCTTGTTTAGTCCCTGTATAGTCTCCGCACAGAAGAATGGCAGTGAAGGACCATGTACCTACCTGAAGCTTGTATCGCATGCCGTCGATTAGGTTGACGAAGACATAGTTGGTCGAGTTGGTGAGGACGTTCTGGTTTGTCGTCGCGATGGCTCCCAGTAAGAGGAGCTTGTAGCCGAGAAGAACTCCATTGCGGTGTTGTGGAGACGGAGGCTTCCACTGTACCCATACGCTTGTTGTATTCACCACATTGACAGAGATTTCGGTTACCGGGGCAGATGGAGCTGTGTTTTCGTCACAGGATTCATACAAAAACATAGTAAATCAGTGTTACAAAAACAGCAACTAGGCATCGCATTAAAAAAAAGAGATAATTTACTTCAGTCTAGGTTTCTGTTTCTCCTGAACACGATGTTCCGCTTCCCCCATGGGTCTACCTTTCCTATATACGACCTCTAAACTGATAGTTTCTCTCTAGATCTCTCAAAGATCTCCTGTACCTCCCTAATAATACTCTATCTATCTAATAACCTGAAACAAGTAATAATGTACCTGTCTTTTCAATTTTCCCTTTAATGATACTAACCATCTTCGAGTGTCGATGCGGCGCGCGTGTTACTCGGTGGACCTTCGACACTTCTATAGAAGGGTACAAGAAACAATTCATACTTGGTGAACTTCTTGAGGTCCTTGAGCACGTAACGAGTAACCTTGCTTCCCCACACAGTCACCATGTTGTATTTGTTGCTGTTGTCTACCATGTCTTTGAAACGAATGTAAAAGCCCTCCACAAAATCTTTGTCCCCAGCCATAATCCAGTCAAGGCTGAGCGAGGTCGAATTGACAGCTTTTACACTCCGTAAAGTTACCTGAAGACATTATGTGTTTAACAGAAAACAACGTAGAATGAGTACAGGCCGCCAGAGTGAACGCCCCATCAATAAGTGCGCGGCGTCATCAGATTCTTCGTATTTCATGTACTGAGCTCTTGTATCGCATGTAGGAGATTAGTTATTGATTAGCTACCGCCAAGGGTGCATTAATGATAGCTGTAAAGTGCAGACTTTAACAAAAAAAATGTTATTCGTGAGGCCGGCGGGGAGACAGAGAGAGAGACCCAGTGGCTGCACAGACATGCCCATTAACGCCAAATATAACAAAACCAAGCAAATTTAAACGCTCGGCGGCTCTGGTCAGTGATCGCTTCAGGGGGGCGGAGTCCCTAGCTGTTAATTGTTCATGGATCGGTATCGAGGCACTTATAAACGCGTGAAGCTTATTAGAAATCTTACGCGGCTGTTGAGATCGAATTTAGGTAGCGCGATCATTACAAAGAACTTTGATGCCTTTTTCGTTGCGCCTGACGACTGATTCCCGTTCAGGAGAGAAATACATTGGACACTCGATACATGAAGTTGTTGACGAGAAACATCGTGGAGGACGGCTTTAATCAGTACTAATTAAGCATGCGCACGAGCAGAATCTATCAAAAACAGGCCACAAACGACGTCGAAGGCCGTCCTAACACAACACAAATTCAGTCAATAATAACTGTTACATGATAATATAACATGATTCGACTATTTATATGTAACTTAAGAAATCCCAAGCAAAATATAGGGGGTTGCAAGGTCATGGCGATAGTTCAGCCGGAGAAGGCCCAATATGAAGAGATTACTGGGTGGAGTACTTTGAAAATTTCGATCTTATGACACCAACTGTAAACGAAGTAAGTGAACATTTATAATGAAACATAATATAAATCCATCGTCGCTGACACAATTAACTCACAAACATATATTGCAGACCAAAAAAATATCGAGGTGCTTCACTCAAAAGAGAACAAAGTTAGCAATTTTTGAGCTGTTGAATTTGGTCATTGTTAAGTTAAACTCCGTCTATTGCTGTAGAAAATATATAGAATAAAAGGCCGCGCGCAGCTAGGAATATCAGAGTTAGAAAATATTTCGTATTCGGATAAAATTACCGTAAGTGAAGGATTGAAAAGGAAATTAAAATTGTGTTTACGGGCTACCTAAATCTAACGACAAGATCAACGAACTGTTTTTAAAGCTACCTCAGTAATGCTTAGCTGGGTTCTTGCTCGCGAAAGATAGTGATCTGGAGCGCTGGCTGTACGACTGCCGACTGTTCTAATAACCTTGGAGAGTTCCGACGGCCGACCTGTTCCTAGTGCGTTCTCTGCCCTTATAAGAAACACGTACCGTGTGTCGGGCTTGAGACTCGTTATCGTGTAAAGTTCCGTAGGACCTATACGGTTGGCGACAGTCACCCAGCCGGATTTTAGGTCTGCGCTAAAATACTCAATGGTATACGCTTTCACCCGATTGAAGCTTCCGCCCATGGCGCCCATCGTGTCGTCTGTTCCCTGGCCAGAGCGATCCCAAACGAGTGTGACGGACGTGTCGCTGATGTTCACCGCTCGGGGTCGCGATGGTGCCGCCGGAAGAAGGGCAGGTGAGGGCGCCCGACTAAACGCCACATTTGGGTCGTGAACCGCTGCAAATGTTACACAACCCATTCACGGGGTGTTATGATAAATAGAGGTATAGACAATTATAGAAATGAACATTACCTCCTGTTGACACTTTTAAGATCCGACTTTAAGTCACAGACGAATATAGCTGTCCCAGTAGAAATACTTTGACCGAGTAAAAAGGAGCTATTAGTAAATTGTGATGAAACTGCATCTAAAAAGGACGGAATTTAAATGTAATTATAATAATCGTATATACTAGCTAATGTCCAAGATTCGCTTGCAGTAAGAACAATAAGCGTGCGATCAGTACAATGCTCACTACATCATTTTATATTAGCTCCTTGTTCAATTGTTTTTCTGCGATAAAAACGTCATAAAATTCTGTTAATGTAAATGTCGTACTCACGAACGCAAGTAATGATTTTAATGAAGTTACTTACGTGCTACGGTGAGTGTAGCTGCCTGTCGGGTTTCTCCGCTGTCGCTTGATGCCACACAGGTATAAACTCCACTATCCTCAAAACGAAGATCTTCAGTCCAATAGCGAGAGTTACGTACGTACGTACGTAGAGAATACGTAGTTATCATTCTCATTTTAAGCATATTTTATATAATGTTATTTCTGCTGAACGCTAGTCATCGGACCTTATCGGACATTTTTAGCTGTAATAATTACTACCTACACACAGTTGGTCTTTCAATCGGAGAAATAAATTTACCTTGAATGGTAAGCGTCCCTTGCGAATCAATGTTAAATCGTTCATCATCGTCTTCATCTATGGGATCTTTGTTATTGAAGAACCATTGAACTTCAGGTCGGGGCAACCCACTCGTTTCGCACGGAAGCGTGGCAGGTTGCCCCTCCGGGATAGTCTGATTGACGGGACCTAGCTCAATTACCGGAGGTGGAAGGTCCCCCAAACCGCTCACCTCAAGGTGCGCCTTTGTCATAATTGACCCTGGAAGATAAAACAGAGACTTTAAACACATGCCACGTATTCATTTGTAGGAGCATTGAGCAAATCACGTCTACACATCTACCTACGTGTCTCTTACTTGCCTTGACACAATCTAGCATTTAATTTCTACAATGTCAGCCATATTTCGCGAAAATAGAGTCTTTCAACAATGGTGTTCCGCCGTGTACAAAAGGCAACTCAAGTCAATCCCGTTACTTTTTTTAGGAGTAGACACCCCTCTCAATGTATTGTTCCGTTAACAGCTTATCTCTAGATAAACACAGTGACAGTATCTTCCGAGGCTATTCCTGAGTGATCCATTCCAGCAGCTTCAAGTTCAGTGTTATTGTAAAAGTTAGAAGGTGTAGATTTCCGAGTAAGATAATGGACAAAGCCGAATCCTAGGGGACAATCATTAGCAGTTTGGGTACCTAATGCTCGAAGTATGTATAGATGAGCTCTGTTCCCTCCCGAAAAACCGTAATTTCTTGTGTATTTTTATCATCTGTAGAATTTAAAGTCGGCCCGATTTGCGTAACTTGGAAGAAGTGACAATTTTTGCATTAAATCTAATCTGTTAGTAAATACAGGTGCAGACGTTTTTTCTTAGTGGAGATTCATTCGACAATTATATAAATACATACGTGTTAGGCCGTCTGATTTCACCAAAGGCATAGAGTGCATAATTTCGAGCTGACGATGAACTATGTTCGCAAACAGGACAACTAAGGAAGCAACAATTCTACTTCAACGCCTCACCGATCGAAAATGACTTTGTGTGTAATATCTGAGTCACTAGACAACCATATGGGATAATTGTGGACAAAAAGCTGTTTACTAGAATCCTCCAACATTACGCCACAGACTTAGAAAAATATTGTAAGTAAATGTATGCAAATTGCATACCCTCGGAGGTTACCAGAGGCGGGTCTCGAGGAAGTGACGCATGTTGGGAAAGCCCAAAATTTAGATGCATGCCATGTTATGTTGGGCGGCCTCTTATTAAAATCTGTTAATTAAGTTTTAAAATTTCTATTTCACGAGATAATTTCCACATCAATATAAATGATGTAATTAAAAAAACTATAATCACAGTAAAATGGAAACCTATGCCGCGCAGTCGCTTATCTAGCCAATTCAATTTGCTAGTTACAGTGACGCCGACATGAAATCTCCGTGTCACTACGAGAGATTTCATATCGGCGTAGTAGTGATCGGGATTTTCTAAAACGAATTATTTTTGTTAGGCGTCCAATAAACATACGCATTCTCCTTTCAGGAACGAAACTGGGTTTTTTTTCTAATAGAATTACCCTCAAAATAACAATTTCGGGACAATCGTTGTATTTTATTGATAAGATCCCACTGGATGATTAAGCGACCGCCATAGTAATCCGGTAGCTTTGCTGGCTTTGTTGATACCGTCTATGTATCTATCGGTTAGGTAAAATGTAGTAGAATGCTATTTATCGGATCTACAGCTTATTATATTAGGTCATATTTACCGATCGCTGAAAGCGCAGAGCACACGTAGAACCCTTCATCGTCCTTGTTCACATCAGCGATACTGAAGCCACCAAGATGATCGACTCGTATACGGCCATACGTGTTATTGGGAAACATAAGATTAGCCTGGTGGCCTTCCCTTGTCCAATAAATGTTCGGCCGAGGGTTGCCTGTCGCCATGCAGGCAAAATTAGCTATTCCGTTGACGCTAACTTTTGCATCCTGGGGCCGCACCAAAAACACTGGACGTGCTGTAACGCCATAGAGTCTCATTAGACTACTTCGCCTGGACAAACTGGGTTCTTCGTCAAATCTCAAAAAAGGAAAATCGGTTGGCAGACTGAAACCTTTGAGCATGTGTACGCAATAAACAATGGCCGTGAATACATAATGTTATAGATATTTATGAGTATCTACCACACATTTTAGAGGGACGAGGTTTTTTTCATGCAGTGCTCATGAACAGAGGACGTTTCCGATGCTGTTAGTGTCGATTCTATAGATCCATTGTCTATTCACCTCCTGAGCGTGTACTTTGTCGATAAGGGAGCATTAACGCGTTTCAGAAATAAACGCAGTTCCCTTTTTTGCAAGCTGAAGTCATTAAGAGCCGTTCTTGCCAACCCACAACGGCCACATTCTAAAAGGGCTGTTTGCCTATCTATGGACAAATACAGTTCTTACCATGGACCGTGACGCGGGCGGTTGCGGTGATCTTGTCTGCCTCATTCTCCGCTACACATACGTAATCGCCTTCATCTTCTGGTACCACGCTAAGGATTTCCAAAGATGACGAACTTTTGTTATTGCTGTTAGGCGATGCCATAATGCCTTCACTGACTTTAAACCGTCCGCCAATTGTCAGTCGCTCATCTCCGTCAGTTTCTATGTCACGATGTTGCGAAAGATGAGACTGAAGCTGTTGGTGATGCCGCTTTTTAGCCCATCGAATAACGGGGATGGGCTCGCCTCCCGCACTACAGTCTAGTCGTACGTCGGCATCATATGCCACGACTGTCGTATCCTCAGGCCGTATGATAAAATACGGTACACCTGAAATCAATTATTCGTGTTACCTAAATGCTCGTTACAGATAATAAGAAGAAATAAGCTATTGGAAGCGACGCGGCGATAATAGTTCTATGCCACGTATTGTCAGCATATATTCGAAAAGAGCCTGGTAAGAAACTCTTGTGTTCTGCGCTCAAATCTACGAAAGATGTATGTATTAAAGAAGTACGAACAAATTAAAAAGCCATAGATTGCATAACAGACGAGGACTTTATGACAAAAAACAAAGCAAACGTATGCTTCCCATGCAGCAAATTTGAATCGGGTTTGAAAGGATAAAAATCGACTTTTACAAAACGCGACAGGGTTATAGTAGAAAAAATAAGATGACAAGAGACGTGTTTAAAAATAGTACGACCGGTGCTCTTAGCTAGAATTTGTTTATTGCTTCCTATAGCTTTATTCTTATCTCATTGATATCAAGCAGGCCTAATAGTAAATTGACCACTTTCCCTACCGGTTCTTTTATTTCTACTGAATTGAATCGATTATTGAAAGTATGACAAAATGTCGGTGATTTTATGTTTTTTTGCGAACTTTTTTATGCTTCTGTTACTCACTGTGAACACGTAAACGCGCTGCGGGCGTCTCCCGAATACCGACCAAGTTTTCGGCTTTGCAGATATAGTTACCGCTGTCGGCGGGACGGACGTCCTGGATGACAAGGTTCCCTGAGTCTTCACTCAACCGGATACGGCTCCGACCTGACCCAACGTTGACCTGGTCAAGATAGATAAAGCTTTGTCATGCGAGACATGCTATGCGTTGGTCTGTTGATGTGCACCGCGATGCATAAAAGGGAATAGCAGCAGAAAGCTACTCTACCAATCACATTATTCATTCAACTGGCCTCCGCAGATCGGCTCGAGTTAATCAAGCATCCGGACCTAGGTTATTAGGCAGAGACAAATATATCTCTATCTCTTTTGTTCACCTCTGTTTTCCCATACAATTTAGCGTTGATATAATAATGAATAATTATGTTATTTAGGATATCGCAATCTTTTAGTGTTTGGGACCGATCTTTAGAAATGACGGATTGACGAATCAGTATATGATAGAGCGACCTACCGTATTACGATAATGCATTGCGATACTATAGCGATTGTAGTCTCGCATGATAAAGTTTATTAGAATACTTTATACATTTCAGTGTCTGAACTAGGTTGTAAAACATTGTCACAAACGAGTGTAGCTGATAAGTATTCCGTCTAAGATGTTTTGACCGACCTATAGAAGCTAGATGTGAGTTGTTTAAATTTGTTTGTAATTATAGGTGCTCGTGTGCTCGTAGCACATCTTTTGGTCTATTGAAACGGGTTTTAAGAAATAGCGACCTAGTCACAGCGATAGCCGCATGTCAACAAACAAGCAATGACATCTTTCTCCTCAGTTTTAACGTATCTTCTCGATCGTTCCGTCGCCGCCACCTTGACCCGCTCCTCCTGCCTCCTCTAAGGCTTCAAGTGTTACAGTCCTTACATGTTATCGTATCTCTTTAATGCCTTTACCTGAAGTTTTCGACCATATAGGCTTTGTAAGACATAGTCATAAGGAAAAGTTTATTTCTTTTTCAGCCATTGTCGTAATTGCTCCCTGCGTTCTCTCGAAACTTTACGGATTCCTTTAAATCACCCACGGGTATGCTTACTTTTAATCTTCGTCTATCGTCGCTTTGTTTTTTTCTTCTTTTTTGCTCATTAATTTCAGCCAGAGTCAACTACTTCTCATGTTTTCTTTAATCTGCACTGACGAAAGCCTGCTACCTAACGACTCTTAGCCAAAACAGTTTATTCTCGTCTATCATGTTGTTGTGGTTATTGTTCTTGAAGGGTGAATCGCGTTTTGAGATGCTTGCCAAGCCTGCCAACTGCGACAACGATAAAAACAGCAACAACGTCGTAGCAGACCGAACTACAAGCAGAGATAAGTCTCAGGAAGAAGGGAGCGGGAAGGGGGAAGAGAACGAATAAACCATAATGAACGACTAGGCTATGTGCGTACGTGCGGAAGCGTGCATATAGTTTTAAGGACAAAGAAAAAGCCCCGATCTACCTAGTGTTTTTACAAGCAAATGTTACATGAGTTACAACGTTTTAGTATAGTCATTACATTATAATCATGAACGTCATAATGTAAACAATAGCCACGTATGTGAGCGAAAGCGTGAGCCCTTAGTAGTGACGATACTCAGACGCTGTCGTCTGCGCAGAATGGGTAAATCATAAGAGGTACTAATAGATCCTCCACACCAATAGGGGCAAATCGGAATTTGAATGAGGAATTCGTAGCAGTTCGTCGTCCCTAATTATAAAAGTGTTGACAAAAATTGTTATGTACCAAGCAATAACTGACTGATCCCGTGATGACATCACGACGCGTTACTTTTAATTAGATCAAGCTTACGCGGGCAAGTAAATCTGAAGCTTAATTCAGAGGTCAGCTAATGACACAAAAATTCATTAAGTGGAAGTAGGCTCGGCATTATTACTGGACTACGGACTTTATGTTGACTAGAGTTCCACATGATTCTACTATGCCAGGGTACTCTTAACGTATTAAATCCTCAATAGGATAAATAACGATGTTAAACAAGTTATGGATGAGAATTGATTGCACAACACGGAGCCTTAGAAAAGACTGGCATTATTCTTCCTTGTGCAAAGACTATGTGCTCGCGACAGTGTAGAACCCGCTACGTTCGAATCTTCTCAGTCACTCTGATAGCGAGCGGTAGTGCCTGCAAGGCTACATAAAGTCAATATGTATGTATTTTGGAAAAGATACAAGTAAACGCGTAACGGAAGCAAGGCTTAAAAAGCCACAGAGGAACCCCGTGGCAAGTGAGCCGAGATTCTTCCCCGTCAACTGATTGCTACAATGTATAAAGAACGATCCAATGGAACTCAGTGGAAGGGGAGAGTAGGCCGTCGGCACTTTACGATAAGTTTAAATTTACTTCCACTATACTCGCACGATATAAAGTACCAAACATTAATGCGCTGTACAAAGCCGCAACAGTCCTACCAACGGTAAAATAACTGGCATCTAGGACAATTTCAATCAAGTTAACTCTGCACTTGGTTTACATAGTGATATTGCAAATTTTATACGTCTCATTTGGTCCCTACCTTCATTCTACGAGACAGCCGCATGGGTAATAGCGGGCGCACTTGCAGCAAAAAGACAGTTTGTCAATCGGAAAAAAGGTAGTTTCGTCGGAAGAAGTTACGCCTACTCAGACCCCTACCAGATTCCTATGTTCGTTCTGTCCGCTTTACTGAGAACTCAACATCGATGGATTCGCGAGAGGGTTTGGTTTGGGTTTGGAATCGTCGGCTGGTGGACGGTTCATCTCGAAGTTCTTGCGAAAGAAGTAAGGTTTCCTACGCGTGAGCGGGCAGAGGCGCTTTTATTGTGAGAATTTCCCGTCTGCCACAGGCTCACACAGCCTTAGCCTGTACAAACCGAAACAAATCTGGCTGTTACACGGCCGCTGCTTCTCAGGGTACATCCACGGCGTTCAGCTGGGGTTTTTTTCTGAAGTCCTGAAGGGCTCCCGAGGGTGCCACTGACACAACTCCGTGAGAAAACGAACAAATAACCGGGGAGGAGCCACGCCCGAGTCGCGGCTTCGCAAATTTTAAGGCTGATTTCATGCCGCGAGTGTAAGGGACTAAGCATGGGTGTATTTGTGTGTGCGCCCAAAATCAGCTGGAAAGTATTTCCAAGGGGTTTCTAAACAAGCAAATGAGGTGCCACCAACGTTGCTGCTGGTCGTACAACCACAGTGTATTTCTATGTGTTTGAACCCTTCTAACTGTGTTCATGTGTTTTATAATGAGGACTCACCAGCATCGATACATCATGACCGCTAAGCGCGACAGTCTTCATTACTGTCCCTCCACAAATCTTTATGAGCTTGTATGTGAGCTATAAGAACTGCCGGCACGAAGGCGAAAATCCTTTGCTTGGTTCAGCTTTTTCCAGGAGGGTGAATGGCTTTTACCTCCAATACATAGTCACAACGGCCGAAGCCGACGCACAACGAACGCACTAGGAACAGCTGCCAAGTAAATTGCCCAAAGAAAAATGGCGTCACTGATGCTCTCAACAGCTGTAGGAACAGTAATGTTACAACAATAGTGGACGGTAAATGGCATTGCCAACTGGTAGTAACGGTTCCGAAAGAATTCCGAAAAGAACATTTCAAGAATCATCGAGACATTCTCAAAGGTTTTTCACACGAGTATCTTATTCCCTCCCTACCCCCTCCATCCTCCTCCCCCCGCCAGCGAGCCCATCTTGTCCCTCGACCCTATGTAGCTCCGTCTCTTTCAAGTGGTGCCGCATAACTTCCGTACCTTCTACGTATCGATTTGAGACGATGAATGGGCATCTAACATGTAATATGTGGAAGCTGTAACAATTTCGGGCATCTGACGTGTACCCACATTTTCCCCTTGGAACTTTATTGACTTTTTGATGCTTACCTTTTTCGCTTATCCAAGGAAAATGCTACTTGTGAGTAGTGTATGCGCCAGCAATGGATATGCATCTATTTCTCAGTGAAAAATATCTGAAGTTATTGTACTGCATGTACTGAATATATGGATGTAAACAATCCGTATTAGCTTATACAGACATTCTGGGCTTCTCTATGATAGAATATTGAATTTGAGAGTTATGAGGTATTGTTGATGATTGGGATTCGCGTGTCATACATACAACTTTACATTTTGCATCTTTCCGCATAAAACACGGTGCTTGCAAGGTCGGTTCTCGTTTTGGCAGTAAGACACTGATCGTTAAATATCACGCTAAAATTTGGTATGAAACCTGGAAGCGTACGATACGATCTTATTATATATTTTAAACTCGAAAAAACGAGCAGGGATATAATCAGTGACATCCACGATTTACAAGAACCGCAATGATCAATAAATCACTGAGTCAGCCTAATGAAAATATATCTGTAACCAAAGTAAATTATGCAGCTAAAAACGATTTTACAGAGAGATTTTCACCAGCGACGTTGCTTTTTATTCGAGAACCTATTCGTATATGGCTTACTGAAGGACTAAAACTCCACGCAATTCCTTTTATAGTATTTCATCATATTTCCAGGTTGATAGGATAAGCACACTGAACGCTTACCTTGAATTGTTCTATAATAAATCCCGTAGTACTGCGTCATGCTCTATATACTAACCGTTTGACCTTCCTTTAACCACAGTACATGAGGTTTTGGCAATCCTGGTGGTGGATTACACTCGAGAACGGCTGTTTCGCCGACCGACACAAATAGGTTTGCTGGACTTGCCTTAAACTCCTCACGCAGATCTGAAATAAAAAGGGGAACGTTATTAATATCGATATAAAGTCGCGTTTGAAAATTACACGCTAAATTTACACGCACTGACCGGTTAAAAAACCGTTCTGCATTTATTTTTGATTCTGATTTTCCGTCAGGTATCGCTTAGTGAGCTGCTGGAATCTCCACAAAGTTCACGGTACAGACTTTCATCAAATATTTTTTATGACTCTCTGAGCTTGAATCGTTATAACTTACTATGTGTAGCGAGAATCTGACGAACAATGACCGTATGCAAATACGTACTATATAGCTTGTCAGCAAGTTGGAAAATTTTGTTTTTTCCAGTTCGAAAGGAAAGAGAACCGGTGCGAACGCCAACGTAAGATTCCCTCGAGGGCTACTGAGGCCGTGCGACATCTTAGACCGACCGCTTGACTGACACTCTAACAAGACAGAGTCTATACAAGGAAAGCGAAGTCATTTCCGTGGTTTCATGGTCTTCTCTAGGGAAATATTCTCATCATTCTGCCAATCCAGCTCGATTCTTTTAGGGGGAACCGTATTGTAGGAGATACTCATATTGGCCTGTAGTATGGTTACCCTCCAGCGATAACATAGCGGTTAGCTGCAGCCCGCATTCATCATAGCCGAATTTGGTTGTTTTGCTTATATTAAGTTGTTGAAAAAGTATTGACCGTTTTTCTAGCTAGGTAGCTGTAAAGTATCTCATGTATCTCAGGTAAGAGTCACGTCATGTTGGCATCGTAGATATGCTGGAACTGTTGGAATGACTGTGTCCAGATTTACGATAAGGCGCCTTAGAAACAAGTGAAATTTCCGTAGAGAAATCACAACATTTCAAAATTTGATTACGATAAGGACATAGGTTTTACCCAAGCCCATAAAAGGTGTGCTGTTTATAATCAAGAAGATTGGTTAGCAGACAAAAAGCAGTCTATAGATGGTTCTATGACTTTCGTTTTGGAAATTTCGATTTGAAAAGCGCCCCTTGTAATGTTCAACAAATTACGGAAAAGACATCCATGAAGTGGTTGCGTAAGCTGTGTAGGACCGGGGTGTGAATAGCCATGAGATCGTTAAGGAACTACAGACCCACCATCTTTTTTTATTAGATTTATTAGATTTTTATTAGCCATTTTTATAAGAGTAGATCGCGTCTCATTAGGAGTGGACCGCATACGATATTAGGCGCAAATTAAAAATGTACTCCACATACATGACGAAGGCCAGGCTGACACCAAAAAAAGAAGCTGATGCTATGTATTTACTGAAATTGGAAAGTTAGAAGAGTAATACTTTTTCTTTTTAGTAGAAAAATATTTGTTTTACGTTGGACTTAAAATGGTCTGTACTATTCGGGCAGCCCAGTTTAATCACAGAACCACCTTTAACGACGCTCAATATAGAAACTGCTCTAGTTGAAACGGCAATGAAACAAGTCCTTTGTACTTTACCACGATTGAACTCCGCTTGCCAAAAATGGTTAACGGTGGCCAGTTTATAGGGAAGCGGCGAACGTTATTGTATTTTTGGCAAGATGGTCGCCTCTCATTGTATTACTATAAAAACATATAGGACCCATTGACTGAATATTTTCAACCGGTAACATACGTAAGGGCGTTAAAGAACGCGTAATTTTAAAGAGGAACTTCGCCTAATTGACCTAAATGAATCTATGCTGTGTCTGCCTGACGAGAGCGCATATCGTTGCAGCGAGAATGTTTAAAAATGAGAAAAAGGAAAGGTGTTCTCAAGAAATTTTCTGCAGAAGATACCAGTTTCTACTTTAGATTTAATTAATCCTTTCCTACTGTAATTACAGCTTAAGGTACCGTAATAGACACTGCTGTGGCTTTTTTTTTTCATTTCTCTTTGGCAACAGGTGCTCTTTTGGTGGCCTAAAGTGGTAAGTGACCCACAAGAAAAATAGATCGCGTGGAAGGTTTTCCTCAATGACTTTAAATTTTGCGTAGACTCCTGTATGCTTGTAACTCTTTGAAAACGTTGTGTTTTCGGATTCCCCATTGGTTATAATACTACCCATCCATTGACGTCTTACGTTACAATGCGTGCACAGTCCTAGACATCTATCTATGATCGTTGATCGTCTCACATTGACTAAAACCAAGTTTTTTTTTTAAGTGAATCAAGTTAAAACTTAAGAACTCTTCTAGATGACAAATTCTACTCTTTATTTTACATATAATTCGACTAAATTCCAAGCTCCAGATCTTGAGATGTTGCTCCATAAAAAGTTTAAAAAAAAAAAACGCCAAAATAGAATACGTTCATATTTAATTTGAATTTCTAAGACAGGTGTGACATGTAACTTGTCTTGACTAGCAGACATCAGGCACGGAGCATTGATTACTCAAACGAATACTTACAAGCAATGCTGACAGTCACATTTTTGGAGCGGACGGTTCCTCTGGCGTTTGACGCTTCGCAGTAGTAGACGCCGGCATCCGCGTGTGATACGGAAAGAAAGTACAAAACGCCTAGCGACGAAGTGGTGCGTAACTTATTTCGTATCAATCGACCTTTGTGGAACCATTGCACCGTATCAGCATTTTCTGTCCCGCAGTCCAACTGCGCAGGGTCATCTCGCAGTGCGACGAGGTCGCGTGGATGTTCTATTATTTTCGGTAGTCCTGAAATTGAGCCGCCGCCGCTCTGGCTTCTTTCGGATGAACTACCGATCAGACTCGTGTCGTCTGAAAAGGTCAATAATATAAGCGTGCAATCATCAGTAAAACAACTGATTTAGATTATAAAGGTGTTCTATTAAGGCATCCCTGGAATAGCAAGTCAGATTACGATGCTGTAATCGCAAAAAGACGATGTAATAGAAAAATTTCACAAAAACAAGAAAACGATCTTTTTTTACTGTAGCTACTGCACTCAACGACACGATTTCACAGAAATCTAAGCCTGCTCATCACCGACATATTACATAAACTTGATTTGTATACTATGTTGGGGTTTTCATTTTTTACTAAAGGACCGTGCCCGTGTCAACAAACATTTCTGGCAATGGTTGTGCGCGAATAATGAAAGCTAACGTCAAAGATTTTTGTCTATTTTTCGAATTAACAGATCGTTAGGGTGCACAGACAAAAAACGGACAGCTCATTTCATGTGACAGACAATAGTCGTAGTTTATATGATTTTCATTTATTTATTTATATTTCGTACTATTTATATATTACAGTGACATAAAATGACAGCAAATTGATGAAGCAAAGATGACTGCCACAAACGAAACGTATCATCACTAACCGTATAAGTGTAGGCATAGAATTTTGTTCCAAAAGACCCAGTATGAAAACTAAAAACAATTTTACCTCCCTCTAGCGGCATCTATTCGGTATGCTCGTACGATCGGATTAATTCAGTACGAACCGCAAATTTCAAAGTATTCGCCGGATCAGATCGGCCACTACTGACGTGTTATACTACTAACTTTGTCATGCTAAATATTCCCCGTTGTTCGCTCATCTGATTATAGCTCCCGACTGTCAAATAATGAACAATACGAGGGTTCGTAATCATTCAACTGGACAAACTGTGTCCTTGGATATCTACAGTTTAGCCCTAATTGTAAATACTCACTGATCCACTTTCGACTGCAGAAGCTCGGTGCGTGTTTCCTGCAGTATTTGGTTATACTGCCCACTAGCGACCCCATTGTCTTCCCGTCGCTAAACATCTGATATATAACTTGATTATAAAGAGTTGCAGTATTCCTTATCGGGTAGTGGCTAGTTGTTCCGAAAGCTGGTCATAGATAAGGAAAAATAGAACATTTTCGTGTCTCTTCTGAAGCAGAAAACGATATCACGCATGAATTCGCGAGGCAAACTGAATGAATTGAAATAGCAACACTTGACAACAAAACTCTTGTTTGGCAAACGTTTTAACCCGTAATGTTTATAAAAGCTCAATACAGATTCGTAATAGGAAGTCACGTTTTCGTAGAACGAACTCTACATAGAGAAATGCTCGCACGGCGGTCAGGTACTCATACACTAGTCGTTAAAAGCTTCTAGCCAGCGGACGCTATCAACTACACAAATTAAATTGACCGCTAATTGTGGGCTGGGAACAGTTCCAATAACCAGCTAGTTATAGAGGAAAATAGGTGGCTTGTAGGTCGCCTTATTGATGTCATCCTCTACATAACATAACAGTAACGGTTCAGCAAGATATTTCCTCAAGCTTTTGCCATTCACCATTGCCTCTTACATTGCTACGGGCTTTTGCAGTGCTCCGAGCAGGCACGCGCCATAGGCATAGTCCAAATTGATGTGCTAAAAGTCCACGAAACGGTTCAGTGAGGTATCATTTGCAGAGTGGGTACGGCGGGTCAGACGACTATCAAAAGAAACTAACGAGGCGCGATAGTTTTGTTAGACACTAAAGTAGAGAGCACAGAAATAATAATTGTATTTTACCTTAAAGGAGAGGACTATACTTACGATGACCGATCTAATATTTCAAAATAGGTACTAATCGTCTAGAACTATTTGATTTAAACCGTCAAATATTTTAGGACCTGTATAAGCTTGGTGCTCTTCACAAAAGTATAATTTGTGTTTATATCTATGTAATATCTTCGATATGATAGCTCTATCACGGTCATTTCTTCGATCTAAGCGTTTCAGATCAGATCAAATCTAACGATACATTGCCTCTTAAGCTTACCCGTGTGTCTATCTGCGCTGTCGCTAAGACGCATTAGGCGGGCACCTATTCTAATCCATAATTTAATCCATAGTAATAAGGTATCGAATCTAATTTATCTAGTATATAAACGCATAATGGTATGGGTAAAATATTTGAATTAAGATACGTCGCGTGTTTCATAAGTGTGCGTCTTTTCGTCTGGCTTTTTACAGATCGTCGGTCCTGATTTTTAGCTAAACGTTGTTGCACTGCATGGCTGTTCCGTCCATGTCTGAAATGTGTCGTTCACGTTTTGACTGCATAAATACTGCGCTGATGCATTTTATTAGAAATGAGTTAGTCAAATGTTGGTAGGAGTTAATCAGGCTCAAATTGCGGTAGACGGGTAAGCATGGTATGTAGATTAAGTAATCTTAGGGGCCCTCTCATAAAGCACACCTCAAACAGGCTGATGCGACACAACGGGTGGAGACCAGCGTAGGCCCAAAGCATATCTATATGATACACCCTGTATTCGCTCTCGCGGGGAGAAATGATCAAATCCACAACCCGAACCATCCAATAGGGCCATTAAAACTACGGGCTACGCTTTTTTTTTGTTTGTTGGACCACACTCGTCGGCTTGTGATACTTTTCAAGGACTGTTTGCCAAATATCATCGAGTTACTTAGTTCCAGTGTCAACCCTATTTAGCTTTTTGTTGCGTGCAAGCAAGGAGCGTACATGTACAAGACTCCGCGAGCAACAATCTAGGTACGGGACAAGTTGTGCGTACGTCGAATGAACTTTTTTTCGCGTAAAAGGTATAAGTTGTTGATCCTATCAGCACTGTATAATAACTCGAGCCTATTTTATGCTTCGCTCGAATTAATGATTCACTCAGGAAAATTCAGAGTATACTCGATTCAACAACTGTTTCGTGAGTCGTCTCGTGTTTCGTGATCGAAAATCGGCGTATCCGACGCCAGCTCGCCTCTTTCCCCCCATACGAGCTCTGTACCGTGCACTCTAAGCTTGTTGCTAAACATGGAGTCTGTCGCTTGAGCAGCAGATGGGATGGTTACATATAGATACGGGCTGTACGATGCTAACGCCACTATAGTATGTAGCACAGGGAACTCCTTCTCTATTAACAAAGAAAGTATTAGGCTAGTCCAACACGGCAGCAAACGTGTGTAGCCATACCAATTATTGCCAATAGCGGACCTATTGTTATTATAAAATTAGATTTCAGACACAGGTGCCTGGAACATTGTCTCTCAATATAGCTCATTTTGCGTATTTTTACTTCTTAGCTGAGTTACTTTTAGACCGCTCAAGCAAAAGTTTCCAGTTGTCCTTACAGACGAAAATATGGCAACGGAGAGCATTAGTGTGACGTGGTATGGTTTCATATAGGCCCTAAAGGACCTGCCGCCTATCATAATGCATCTTGTGAAACAGAATTACAGAAGCAGGGGTTAATCGATCTGCGAATCACTCGTTGTGACTGAAGATTACGGAAATCTGTGAACGCTTAATATTTGAAAAGGAGCAATAGTCAGATAGGAAAGTAACGCACATTTATCTAGATAGTATTATTATAACGTATTCCTCATATATTCAAGATCAACTATTTTCCAAAAAAAAACACGAGTTCAGAAGAACGACAGCGGCTTCAACCATGAAAGCCTCATGAAGTAGCGAAACAATCGGTGCTGTGTGTCAGTCATTCAAACGCCAGGGAGCAGTGGATGTATTTATGTAAACGTATTTTACGCTGACGTTAAGTATTAAGCAGCAGCAGCAGCGAAACGCGGAAGGCATTATTTTCGCAAACGTATAGGGACAAGCTTAAGCTATCTTTTTTCTTAAAAGCGAAAACACAGGGCATTTTCACCTTGAACGACTCCTACCCATGTGTCGTACAGAAGAAACAACAGAACTCAGTGTAAACTGCCATTCAATAAGCTCGGCTTATAGGTGCGCAAAAAAAGAAAACATGACAAAAGTGTTGATCGCTTATATAAGTTGGTTACATAGGAATTTGTCAGACGTATTCTCTAATGGATGACTTTATGGAATGTAAATTTGCATCGAGACAAGCGCAGGCATCCAAAATCACGACGAAAAAAAACGGTTAGAAATTGGTTGTTCGAACAATGCTGGGTTCAATATCACAAAAAAGGGCTTATCTTCCCTTTTCCTCTGCTTATAACTTACTCCAATTGATGCCATATTGCTATAACACTTGTCGATTAAACCTCTGTTCTACCGTCCAAATTGTTGACGTCCACGCCTAGTCATCCACGCCGCCAATCTTAAAGATTTTATTATCTTGAAAGATCTGCGCAACCAGCCCCACTCTGGCAGCCGAAACACCAGCGTGCGGGAAATCGATGTAAATGGCGGAATACGGCTAGCAAGTAACGATACACGGCGAACGGTCGTTTCGAGTATAAAAGTCAGCGCTGATACTAAGGGTAACGGCCGCCCGTAGTACGCTTATAGTAGCACCAGCGGGAACTACACAATTTATAACTTTAGAGGACTCCAGCACTCTCTATTCCTATATATAATAGCATAGTCTGTTTCTTCCGGCTCGAGACCTCTGTCTGGCAACTCCTAATGCTCGCGACGCCCCAATGTGTCGCGCTGATATGTAGCTATATGCGGTCAGCCTGAGACACATACCGTAACTAATATTGTTAGCTTGGTGCTACGTAGCGGCTCACGACGACTAGTATTATATCAGCACACGAGCAATATACACACCCTAGCCTTAAATCGCAGCCTTCGAAAACTTTATGAATCTGCGTAACAAATCTTTGACTTCTGCCTTTCAAAGGGTCGGGCTCAAGTCGCGTGTCGGTCATTCCGTCTTATAATAGCTTGAAATCGCTGCTCTGGCACGAGTGGATTGCAGGCAGATTTCCACTTACAGTGTTAGGAACGGAAACATGCGTATCACACCGCGATTACAAAATTTAAAGTTGATTAAGGCAATAACCTGACGCGTTGATATGTTTCAGCTATTACTCTTATGATC